GTCAAAATTTTGGTGTCGATCATTCGATTTCATCCTGGACACTACAGAAAATGGGCTAAAAGTGTTAAAAACCGGAATTTTCCTTTAATGCTGATAAAACAGTTTTGTTTGTTCATATAAGCCTAAAGCAGGGATGTTTTTCCCGATCAGATCGAACCTGTTTTTGCTTCAGATTACTGGAAATTTGTAACAGGAAGAAGCACTGCAGGTGGTAAGGAGGCCGAGGCTCTGCTGGCTCTCCTTCCTCACTCTGAGTGACTGGAGAGACATAGCAGAGTCTGCGGTGGAGGTGGGGGGGGTCTCAGCCTCAGCTCCCCCTCCTGTTAGGTGTTCTCCCCCAAAAATCCAACCCCCCGCTCCTGTCTGGAAATGGACACCATGGGAGTATTTTTAGCTGCAGACCACAAGCGAGCTGGAAGGAGCTGGTCACATTCATCAGCGTCGTGTCGTGTCCCGATACACGGCGGTACTTTCTAGACTGTTTTACGTCGTCACTTTAGTAACAAGCCTGGAGAAACTGGTAGGAAAACTTTAATCTGACGTCGTTCTGCTTTGGTTTCATAGTCTGATCGGCAGGAACTACATTTGATTGAGGAACTTTTTCACAACATTCTTCTTTTGGGGTAAATTTAACCACGGTGTACTTTTACTTTTTTTGTGGTTAAGTAATTATGAGTTTTTTGTATTGCAAATTGCCCGTTTTAAGTTGATATGTAAATTAATATATATTTTTACCAACATGTTCAACTAGTTGTGGATCCCTTTAAAAATAAGAAAAAAAATTTCATTCAACAGTGGTCTGGAGAAACTAAAAGTTTTATATACTGTAACTTTTTACTTTTACGCGTTCCTAAATCCGGGAGAAAAAAAAAGTTGACTGTAAACAAAATTAACAGCAATTAGTTAATTAATTTAGTAATCAAATTGTTACCAAGATTAATCATAAGCAGACAATAAAGTATGCCACTTGCTGAAATAATTACATACTTAGTGGAGCACTTAAAAAAAATGTGCAATAACTTTTTGCTCATCTTCTCACTGTGAATAAAATGACTGAATGAAGAACAAACATGTTTCAACCAGAAAATGGACCTAAAACTGATAGTTGATGTGAGACTTTTGATGCTTTTATTTTTGAAATGGGGTAAAAAGATATTATTATCAACAATAGACTTATGTTAAATGTATTTCCATTACCCGACTTTGTAATAATTCTTGATAATGTCATCTTTACATATTGAAATGGATAAGGTGTTTGATAACTTATAACTCAAATAGTCTTTTCACCAAATATCTTTAAATTCTTACTTGAGTCCTTTCTTTAATATTTTGTTTATTTTTTTTACTGGAGTGAAATTGGTTTCAAAAGAGGCCAAGTATTATTTTAAGTTAAAAATGCTTTTCTTGAGACATTTTCTTTGCAGTGTTGAAAAACACGTTTTTATTAATATTGTTTAGAAATTGATTGATTGACTTTATTGATCTCAAAGTGGAGAAATTTACTCGTTACAACATCTCAACTGGTCAAAGGAGAAGAAGATGCCAAAGGAAAAAAAGGTGCACGGGATATATACAGTATCCCATGCACTTTTATTATTATTTTATTATTTTCACAGGGCTTCCGCAGGTCATTAAAAATCATTAAATTACTTTTTTTTTTAAGTAAAGTTCTTAATTGGCATGAAAAGTAATTAAATGTGATTATCATGGCATTTACAATGCTTATTTAAAATAATAATAAAAAAAAAAATTTATAAAAACAATTTTGTGTTTGCGCAAAACTGCTTCCGGCTGATCGTAAAGCCATATGTTCGGAAAAGAAGCTAGAGGTGGAGAAAAATCTAGAGAATAGGAGGAAAATGGCAAATTTCAACAAAAGTGGCTGGAAAACGAGGAATTTGGGACATTGCAGCAGCCTGTCCACAGTAATGTGTTATATATATATAACTTTATATAAAAATGAGTCCCTTGTGGTATCAAAATTATTTCTCAGAGCGCTAAAAAGCATAAAATTAGAGTTACTCATTCCTCCCTGTTTTAAAAACGGCTTAGAACTGATTCACATGCAGACTAGAGCTTAGATCTTATCACAATATTTTGTGGTACTATTGTGATGTTGTTAAAATTGGTGATAAGAACTCTTCGTTAATTCTTTGAAGTCACTCTTGGCTAACTGTGCAGTAGTGATTGCCACAACAATCATGGCCCCATAATTAAAAACACCAATATTGGAAAAAATAAACATTTAAAATGTGTTTCTTCAAAAGACCAGATGCATAAAGAAGTTGGATTTATATTGTTGAACATCCCGTAGTAACGGCATTTAATCATACTCTTAAAATTTGCCAATGGCCGAATGGAAAAAAATTTAAATATTAAAAATATTTAAAATAAAACTAACAATTTACCATTTTTTTTAAGTTTTTATCATAATTAATTCCAATTTATTCTTTAGATGATAAATTAAAATTGTTATCCTGACTAGAAATGGATCACAAAACTGATAAACGATACAATAAAAAATGAGAGACGCTGTAGTGCATATGGCAGGCCTTTTGGTGGCGCTGCAACACCGAATAACAGCCAAACCTCTGAAAATAAACAGTGGGCCCTTGCAGGAAAAAACGGCATCATGGCGCTAAAGAGGCGCATGCAGGTTGAAGATGGAGGTTGAGAAAAATATCTTGCATTTACATTAGGTTAAAAAAAAATTTGTTTATGCTTTCCTAAAATGCCGGTTCCGTTTGGATACACAGCTTACGCGACAAAATATCTTTGCGTTTACGTCTAACATGGTCTCCCTGTGGATTGGGCCTTAAACTAGTAGCAAAATACCTGCATTCAACACACGTATTTGCACAACGCTGCACCAAAATTGGTTTGTTTATGCCATCGGATGCATGTATATGATCCTGTTTGGCAAGAATTAAAAAGGAGAACAACAGATGTTGGATTAGTTAGTAGTTCTTGGTAGTTGTGACAAGCTAATAAGCTAAATATTGCATATTTTAATCACATGGTTAAAATACAGCTTGATAAAAAATGCAAAACGATCCTACCTGCATCACAATTACTGAAAATGACATGCTGTCATTTCCTTTTAGAGGTTATAGTCATCATGGGTATAATGACTCTTACTTTATTTTTGGCTTCTTATGATGCAGTTGAAATGTTTTTACTCTGAAGTCGACTTATGAGGCAAAATACTACGTTTATATAGTAAAATCAAAACATTTTAATTCAAAAAGGCATCAATAAATTAAACTAATTGGTGCAAAAGTTTCTGATTTCCAAGATGGATTTAAATAATGTATAGAACCTCCTATAGTCCCATTATTGTGGCAGAATTCATGTTAATTTAGAATTTCTGATGTTCATTTCAGATGAAATCTTCATTCTGAGATCAACCACCAGTGAGACACGGCGAGGAAGAGATGGAGAAACCAGTACTCCAGACGCAGCCGTCCATTTTGCCTTTCTTTGACTCGTCGCATGCTTTCAACCTTCTGAGAGGAATCCACGAGCTACGAGCCGAGCGGAAGTTTTTCGATGTGACTTTGTGCGCTGAGGGCCGCGAGTTCCACTGCCACCGCACGGTGTTGGCTGCCGCCAGCACCTACTTCCGAGCCATGTTCACCGGGACGTTAAAGGAGAGCGTGATGGACAGGGTGGTTCTCCACGAGGTGTCTGCTGAGCTTTTAGGCTTACTGGTGGACTTCTGCTACACGGGGCGGGTCACGGTCACTCAGGAGAACGTAGACCTCCTGCTGAAGACGGCCGATTTGTTTCAGTTCCCCTCGGTTAAAGAGGCCTGCTGTGCTTTTCTGGAGCAGCGTCTGGACGTGTCCAACTGTTTGGAGATCCAAGACTTCGCTGAGGCCTACGCTTGCAGGGAGCTGGCTGCCAGCGCGCGCCGCTTTGTCCTCAAAAACATAATGGAGCTGGCCAAAGGGACAGACTTTGAGCGGTTGCCGTGGAAGCGCCTGCTGGAGTTTGTGTCTGACGACGAGCTTTGCGTGGACAAAGAGGAGACAGTCTATCAAATCGCTGTGCGGTGGGTAAAGACCGATCTGCAGCGACGGCTGCACTATTGGCCCGAACTCCTCCAGCAGGTCCGCCTCCCGTTCGTCCGAAGGTTCTTCCTTTTGGCCCACGTGGAAAGCGACCCGCTCGTCTACCTGTCGCCCACCTGCCTCCGCATGGTGAACGAAGCCCGCAGCTTCCAGTCCTGCGAGTACGACCGCCACGACAGGCCGTGCCACCGCATGCGGCCTCGGCCTTCGACGGGATTGGCGGAAATCCTGGTGGTGATCGGAGGCTGCGACCAGGACTGCGATGAGCTGGTCACAGTGGACTGTTACAACCCTCAGACGGGGCAGTGGCGCTACCTGGCTGAATTCCCCGACCATCTAGGAGGCGGTTACAGCATAGCTGCCCTCGGAAACGACATTTATGTCACAGGTAAGGAGCCCCTTGATACTTCCTCCTTGCTGAATGCCCGGTGCGAGGGATTGCTGAAGAGCGACACAACGACACAATGCGAACAAATGTCTCTACATTCTCCTACATTGGGATTACATGGATTTTGATTTGGGGCTATATAAATAAACTGGATTGAATTGAATTAGACCTTTATTTAAATTGAACAAATACTAAAAAATGTAATTCTGTATCCCACATTTAATGTGTTCAGTTCAATTTAATTTAATATTTTTTGGTTAAATTTCAGT